TGTGAAAGTATTTATTTTATCATGTTATATTTATTTATTTTCTTTATTATTTCTATAATAATTTAGTTTTTATGACCATTTATTATGGTTATTAGAAATAGCTACAATTTCTTAAATATTAGTCTTCATAGTAATACACGTTAGGTTTTTTTGTTTGAGGATAACAATTTATAATGTTTTCAACTTGATCGTTTCCAACTTTGTCAATATGAAACTGTACTGAGTATAATGATGACATTTTTTATTATCTCATGTTTCTGACAACTTTAATTTACAACTTTAATCTCTCTGTTGTTTTTTTATTGTTAGTTATATTTATTATTGAATCCCTAAACTCTTAAAAATCAAGCTTCAAATCTTATAAACATTTTTATTTTCATAAGTGCCAAATGTTACACACCTTCTTTTCTGTTGAATTAACAGAGAAGATTTCATTAAAGGGGTCATCAGNACACCTTCTTTTCTGTTGAATTAACAGAGAAGATTTCATTAAAGGGGTCATCAGCCCACTAAAAGTTTATTAAAGTCATTCATGGTTAATACTTTCAAAATATATTGTCGATATTTTTACTCATTGAGATAATTCAGTTGGCAAATGTATTATCAAAAGTTGGTAAAATTCATCCCATACTCCTAAAAATTATCTCTAGGATCGCCCTTTATTAAAAATATTTTTTTTTGATTTTACAACGTAAACAATGTATTCCTTATGTTGTTTAAGCTCAATCCAAAGCGATAGCTAAGTATTCAGTACGGGAGATTTGAAGAAGACCTCAAAACTTCCCTAACCGTATATAGACGAACATTTTACTACTTTTTTGTGGATTGAAAAAATCTGAATACAGACGATTACTATAGTACTAAATTTGAAAAGATATTTAATATATATGATACTTTTTATTGACTTCACTGATTGTACATAAAAATAAAAATTATAGATTCTTCATAAAGAAAACTCTACTAATTAAGTTGTAAAAAATTACCTGTTGGCTCAATTTTATTTATTACTAAATTTGTATTAGCATCAATTAGGCATTGTACAAGATCATTCCTCAAAATATTGTTTTCTTTTCTATACTTCATCGTATCACGAAAAGATGTTTCGAAAAAATCTGTGATATGTGTTGGTATATCTTTAAGCTTTAGCAGTTTTTTTATTGTTGGACTTAAAAATGTAAGTAATTGAATTATTATTGTTTTCGTGGAAGGGTTAAATATTTCTTTAATAGCATTTCGATATGGAGTATTTTCATTTGCTATAGAATTAAGTTTTAAGCCAAAAACACAAGTTCCAATGACATCGGTCGAATAGTTTCCAATAAATCTTTTTATTTCAATAGTATCGATTTTATTTAACTTCAAATTGATATGCGCAATTAATTCATCACTGCATTCATTAATTTGATCATACATGTTTCTCAACATTCGTGACGTAAAAGCTGGACTCATATTACGTCTCATTATTTTCCACTGTTCACCTTCCATTGAAAATAAATGGTTAAGGAGAGGGGCGTTTTCAATGTCAGCGGGTATACCACGATCAGTAAAATGAGAAAAATCTTTAATAAGAATATTATTAATGAGCTCTGGGTCACGTACCATTAGCGTAGGCGCCATCATTTGATAAAGCCCAACATATTTCTCTTCAGCACGATATCTATAAATTTCGTCAAGTATATCTTTATAATGACAGGATCCAATGACCATTTTAAACAAATTTCCAAAAATCGGAATTGGCTGTATGAATGGTACGTTTAATTTTTGCCAGTATTCAAAATGTCGAGTACAATAATAATAAAATGCAGAGAATGTAATCAAAAGTAGGGTAACTGTAATGTAAAAAGAATAAGTAACAGAAATAAAATAAGAGAACATTGTACTTTATAGCAAAACACATGCATATATTAGAGTGAAGTATTAATAACTGACAAAAATTAAATATCATCCTGTGTACTGGTAGCCTTGTTTAACAAAACACGAGAGCTCCCACTTATAGTCTTACTGATCATTGTCAATTTTATAAAAACATATTATTAAGTGTGGACCCAGAGTGAGTTGAGAGGGCGACTGCTATGCCGTTTGTCAAATATTATCATATGGTATTCTAAGTTCTGTTTAAATTCAATTAAAAAAATTCTATTGAGGTGATGGATTTTAAACGGCAAGAGGACTCCTATTGACCGTTGAAATTTGAGTATAGTTGAGTTTTATATAAGCTATATTTATATATATTTTATATTTTTATAAGCTATAAATTGTATGTAGAACTAACTTACAAGTTAGAAAATTATCTACTAAAAATAATTATTAATATTGAATAAAAAATAAAATAATATTATTGGAATTAAAAAAAAAAAAGCTTGGTTATTGTTAATAAAAACACATTAATTATTACTATGCTCTTACAACATATTATAAATGATGTATTTTCATTTATTCAATTTGTTAAAAATATCAATTATCATAGAAAGAGGTGATCATATGACAATTTACTAGGCTGTAGCCTGAAGCTACTGACGTCATACTAACAACAGACAGTTGTGTTTTAGTGGACGTTATAGGTATAGTTTCGATATTATAACTTCCGTTATATTAATTTAATTACATAGTCAATCACTCACTTAATTTTAATGATTACTACTTGCCTATCATTAATTGTCGACATTGCCAATTAACTCCTTCTCACTTGGATATACCTAATAACCAACTGTGCTATATGAACTTGCTATTATTTCCGTATTTTTCATACTATAGTTGAACTTTTTCACTCTGAATATGACACTAGTAGTAATTGCTAACAATTAAAATGGTTATAAATAGTATTTACGTTGTTGACGATTCCTGAAAATCAACAAACAGATAATATATGATCGGGTGCGCTACATTTTCCCGAGTTGAGGTGAATGTAGTCGAGAAATTTCGATAATAGCCGATTATTCAATTTAAAAAACTCTACATTCTCATTATTTGCTCAGAACATATGAATTGTACACATTGTACATGAATGAGACTGAAAAGTAAAAAAAATTGTTATTTAAGTATACAATTTCTATATATTAAATAATTTTCTTATAATTAGTTGAATTAACTCAGTTACTAAAAAAAATAAACCTAATAACTATCAAGGAGCATACCATAGGGGGTTCTCCTTTTAAATATTCTTAAATTCCAATTTTTATTATATCTTTAATTATTAAGTAGATTAATTAAAAAATTGTAAAGTACATCCGAAATTTCTTAAGAGAGTCTCAATTAAGAACAAGTCTCTTAATTGAACAATATTTATATAATTTTAATGTATAATATTGATGTATTAATTTTTTCTACTATTTGTAAACCAAAATACGTACTTCATTAATGTCAGACATATTGTTAAAAATGAATAAAAATCAAATTATTTAATAAAGTTATTATCAAGTATTTTATTTTATTTAATAATAAAACTAAAGTATAAATTTCAAATAAGATAAAGTGAAAATAAAATGCTACACATACATTATTTTGAAACAAAGGTCGCAATGTAACAGTACACATTATCTACGCTCACATCAGCTGTCCTCATATCGCATTCAATAGCATCCCTCCATCTCTTTTTTGGTCTTTTTCTCATAATATTATAATGTATAATTTTCCTATAAAATCACTAACATTAAATACCATTATTTTTTTATTTTAATGTACCACAGGTTTTTTCAGAAAATTAGTTTTCAATCGAAGTAATAAAATTGAAATTTCGATCGGTAGTACACCAAATCGCTGCCTTTCTCACTATATACTTGTTTAAAAAATATCATTCACATTTGTTTTTACCTTCAATTTTAAGAATTTAAAGCAAAAACTGCGTTTTCTTACATCAAATAAAACTAATAAAAGTAAAATCTATATCAATTTAAAGCTATTTAATCACATTATGTGAATAAAAAATTATTAACAAAAAAAATTTTTAGCCTAAGTAAAAAAATGACAATTTTTATACATAAAATTACCGTTTTTCAATTTTCGAAAATATTTCGGCAAACCTAAATTCCGACTGTACTGTAATTTTTTTTTTTATTTCTAATAAAAAAAATAAATTAAAAATGTATGAATTTTCTATACTATCCAATAGTATGTCATAAAGTGATCAAAATGATCACTATAAGCATGTTTATGTGTTTAGTTATATCAATGCATTATTTCGAATGATCAAAACTTTTATATATTTATACAAAATTATAAACATTTAATTATTTTAAAAACAGTAGTATTAATAGAATAGAAATTATCTTGAATGTTGAATTTTCTTATAATTATGTACATATAGGCTTGAATTTTAGCCATAGAGTGTTGTTTTTTGCAACTATATTTATAGTTCGTTTTTGAAAAGTCATCGGAATTAATGTTTTTTCACATGGTAATACTTCATATTTACTTAACAACTCAGAAAGAGCAAGTTTCATTTCTAATTCAGCGAAACGTTTACCTAAATAATAATGATTATTATTAAACACATTTAATTAAGTAATTAATTGTAATATTCAAACGATAACTATAAAGATTTGTTAATTAACTCATTGAAAAAGCTCTTATGAAAATATTACCCTTTCTATGTAATGTTATCAAGTTTAACCTTATATACATATTTTGATTAATTAAGTGGTTCATGATAAATGAACCACCTTGTTTAAGGTCAGGTCATCTGTTTAGCATGGAATTTATCAATTTTTCGTCAAATAACTATAATATCGTAAAAAAATATTTTGGTGTTTTTAAGTTGTGTAATGAGAATTTTAGGACAAGTACTTATTGAGTTACAGGTATTTTAATACTTAGAGTAGGTATGGAACGCAGCCGGAGAATACGTGCACCAGTAAGAGATACATCCACCTTCGTGACACCCTATGTATTATATTGTTTGTAACTTAAAGATGGTACTTGTCCTAAAATTGTTAATCACCAATTAAAGAAAAATAATTTTTAAATTTCAAAATAAATTTAAAATATTTATTTTTTTCATAAAAATGATAATTGTATAAAAAGTGATAAGCATTATTAGTTAGATATAAGACACATGAGCTTCTTGAGCACGTGTAACCCACGAATAAATGTCTAAAATATTGATTATCTTACCTAAACAAACTCGTTGTCCTTCACCAAACGGTAAATATATGCCACTTTGTCTCTTATTATTTTCTTCGGGACTAAAACGTTCTGGATCGAATTTCATAGGGTTAGGATAATACACTGGATCCATATGTATACTGTAGGCTGGTACTATAATTTTCATGCCCTTAGGCAATACCAAATTTTCATTAGGCAGTTGATAGGGTACAGAAACTTCTCGGATAATTATAGGTAATGGTGGATATTTACGAAGTGTTTCTGTAAAAAAATTAATGTACAATTTTTAATTAACAATTATATGTTGATAATTTTTATGTTTATCTTGAATATATCATTAAGCCTAATGATTTAAATTTGATTACTTTTTATTTTAATCAAAAAGATTCCGAGAATAAATTATTTTAAATTTTACTGTATAAATGTATTTGGCTAATAATCAAAATTATAGTTATAAATAAAATATAATTTTGAAATTTAATAAATTTTTATTGTTTTATAACTAAACGAGTTACTCTAAGTTAATATTTTGAATTATTATATAAATCAACATTAATTATCAAAATTATTAAGAATTATATTATAATAATATATTACAAATTATTAAAAACCTAAAAGGTTGAAAAATTTAGTAATTATTTTATATATTTTATTTAAAACTCCCTCACTGAGTTACGTTTATTGAATATGATACCATAAGATTTGTGATATTTTGCATATCGTTGAATAAAATCGGTTCAGTGAGAGCTGAGAAAAAGTAATGACAGACACAAAAAAAAAACCCAGCACAGTAGGGTCGCGGCACAATAGAGACTTGACAAAGTTGGGACAAGTATAGATGATGTCTGACAGTTTAAAATCACTATAATAAAAACACATTAATGCAAATCTTTGATAGTGTTTAATTTTTAAAAGGAATTGTTGGATTATTTTAAAAGCTACATCCTATTTCCTTAATTATATCGTGATTACAAGTTTTATGATTTATAAATATAATATATGAATTAATAATTATCATAGTAATTATATTTAGCATTAAATTGATATTCAATAATTAAGTATTATAATTTTTACGGTAAAATTATAAAAAGTTATTCAATAGTAGTATATTTCGTTACTTCTTGGTAAACGTGAATAACAGTTGTAACCAGTGGCGTGCCCAGGGGGGGAGGTTAGGGGTCATATCCCTCCCCATTGGTTTTTTTTTCTAACATCGAGTACCTAACAGCAATAATTGAATAAAATTGCAATTATTACATTGTATATTTGTATAACAACATTACATCATATCATACAAAACACAAAATATTAATAAATATTTTAATGAGGCTTGACCCCTAAAGCCCCCTTATTAATCTTTTTCAAATTTTTTCACACCTATTAAATGTATTTAGATGTATTAATACCTATTAGTTATAACATCCCTCCCCATTTAAAATTCCTGGGCACGCCACTGTTTGTAACTATGGATTTATCGAAAGAAAAAAGAAAGTTTACATTCTTTAATTACTGTAGTTTTTCTTTTATTCTGTATTTTAAATTAAAAATAGTATTTCAAATAAAAGAGACATATAAAAAGTATTTGGAAAAAATATTATATTAATCCTAGCATTTTTAAAATACTTATAGTGATTTAACTTAAATAATAAAATATGAAATCGAAAATTTTAACACAAAAATTTCATGTTTTCTATTTACGATAACCTTCTGTACATAGAAAATAAGTCATCGGGACAAATTTTTTTTTAAACTTATAGTAAATAATATAAGCTTTATTTTAACATATGTTTTGTAATCGAAGTGTTTAAGGAACATTTTATAATGTTTTTGTACAAAAGTTGCTATTTTGAATACATCTCTGTGTGCAGGTTAAGACTCAGATTTGTAATGTATACCAAATTAAACGGAAATATTTAAGGTGCTTGTATAAAATAAAATAATTTTGATTCATTTATTTTTAATAAAGTTGTGACAGTTTTAAGAAAAATACATTTTTAAATTGTCAAAGTTTACCAATTTTAAACATTTTGAATTTTAGGGAGGTTTCCCCCATTTACGAGAAATGAGAGAATTTTTTTCAATTTTTAAGAATAATGTTTTCAAAAAAATACTATTTTTGGTCTTTTAACGTATCGTTAAAAGAAATTGGTCCAGCGATAGTCGGAAAAAATGGAGACACAAAAATCACATCACAATATAGTTTTACTAATTATACTTAAAAGTTATAAATCAATATCTTTTTAACTTCGCATCGAAGCTTAAAAATATTTGTGAAATATAAATTTTAATAACATAAAAATTATTGTGAAATTTAACATTATTATAACATTATTTGAAAAATAATGTTTTTAGGGTAGTTGTTATTTCCAAATTATTGGTTTACTCACGTGACAAATTAATATTATTTTTTCAGAAAATTTTAACTTTTACCTGATAAAACCATATCTAAGTATTTAAGAGAATGTAAGTACTCCTTTTTGTCATTTGTGCTATCCATAAGTTTTGCATTTGAAATATTATCACGTAAACGATCTTGAATGTCTTTATTTAGAGCAAGTTCATATAAGCAGAAACACATTGTATTGGAAACTGTCTCAAATCCAGCAACGAACATAACAAATGCTTGAGCTATTATGTCTGTTTCTTTAAAGTTAACTGTGGAAATAAAAAATTACACAATTATACAACTGGAGCGCGGAATTACAAGCATTTATAAATTTGTTTAAGTCACTTTAAAGGGTCCCAAGTTTGTTCAACACTGTCGAACAGTTATACAGGGTGGCCCAGCACTCACTGACAACTTAAATAACTTTTGATCCAGTTCATATTTTTAGCTGATTTTTTTTTAATAGTNCAGTTAATATTTTTAGTTGATTTTTTTTTTAAATAATAGTTATACGTTAGGTCTATAGCTATATCTCAATAATTAATTTTTTTACATTTTATTAAAAATATTAATTATTTTTAAATTTTAAATAAAATGTAAAAAAAATCTAAGATAGCTATTTTTTAGAGTAGAATTTAAGAAAAATTTTAATAAAAAAATATCTTATTAATATTCAGTAGTAAATATTCTGTAGCATTTTAAAGTTTGTGAAAATTTGAATTTCCATGTATTATTTTACGGTATTAAACATTGAAATACGTATTGAGAAAAGGACAGAAGAAAACAGTATCTTTTCGTGATTACTATTATTTACAACCTTGGCATTAAAACCATGATAAGATATTTGATAAGGCAATTATTGCTTATCACTCTCATTCAAAAGTATTTCATTTTCATGGAAAAAGTTACACACTTCCAAATTATAGTAATCACTAAAAGATAGTGTTTTCTTCTGTTCTTTTCTCAATACGTATTTTAATGTTTAATACCGTAAAATAATACATGAAAATTTAAATTTTCACAAACTTTAAAATGCTACAGAATAGCTAAAAATATTAACTGGATCAAAAGTTATTTCAGTTGTCAGTGAGTGCTGGGCCACTCTGTATAGTAGCATAGAAATATTTTTAGTTTTAGGAACAATAAACCCATAATTCCACCCAAAACTATAACATCGATAAAAAAAATACACATTGTTATATTTCAAGTTAATTAATAAAAATTTATACTGGCTGATGGTGTGTTCAAATTAACTTAAGGCGTCTGGGTACTGACCGCTTTTTAGTAAAAAACAACCCGTTTTTGTTCCATCAGTAAGACGAAACTACTGATGCGATATGAATTCTGAATTCAGCATCATGTCACTTAGGTATCGGTCAGGCCATTTTTTTCAATTTTTGATGTTTTTAACCCTTAAGTACAGTTTACATTTTTGAATAATTTTAATTATTTGAAAATAAATTTTTGTGTTAAAGGAATCACAATTTCAAAAAAGTGGCCTTACCGATACCTAAGTGACATGATACTGAATTCAGATTTGTTTTCTGAATTCTTATCGCATCAGTAGTTACGTCGTACTGATGGAACAAAAACGGGTTGTTTTGTACGTTCAAACTAATGAATTTCAAACAGAAGCAGTTTTTTCTGACAGCTCGTGCGCATATGTGCGTTATCCGCAGCAGCTATTTTATTGCTCATAGAGATGTGTAGGGCAATACCGACTGCCTTAAAATAGTTACAAATGCATACTTGATTTTACATTTGTATATATGATATTTGCTCTTATCTAATGACCGCCAAAGCTAACATTGCATTATACGAAACAATTTTTTTTTATTATATTCCTATATAAGTGTTGCTAAATAAATGTGGTCATAAAAAAATATTGCTATAAAAAAAAAATAAAAAAAAAGTAATGTAATTTTTTAATAGCTCTTATTTAAAAAAAAATAACACACCGGTTGTAAACACTAGCAAAAAAGTTAATAACTAAAAAGTAGTTCAGGTTTTACACAAAAATTACTCAATTTATATTTTACAAAAATTTACTTAACTTCAAATTATTTTGTATAGATTTTTAATGCAATAACTTGTTAATAGATAAATTAGATAATTATTTAATAAATCATTCAACCAAGTCAATACAACTAATAGATCCTTATTAGTTGCAGTTAGAGTTTTGAATCAAATTGATTTATTTTGTTTTTACGCTGACAGTTAAAACGATAACAATATTATCACGTTATACGTTTTAAATAATTAGAAACCTTATGATTTTATCATGTTTTCTGTTTTACGGCATTTAAAAATTATTGATAACTTTTTAGTCTATTAGCAATTAACCCGGCATTACTCAAATGTGAGAATTTTTTTCACATAGTTTTTATGATAAAACACTAAATTGATCGCAGTTATTTTTCCCCCAAATTTATTATACCTAATAAGTTATAACGAATCATCAATATGTTTTAGTTTTCTGCTCAATTTTGTTTCATATTGTTTTTAGTTATTTTTAGTTATTTTTGATGTTTTGATTTTTATTTTATTTTATTTCCAGTAATGTGTTTGTTGTTAATATATATTTTTCATTAATCGTTGCACTTTTTTTAACGTTTTACGATTCCAATCGTTTTATGGTAATTATAACGTAATGAAAACGGTTTCAAGTTCTGGTTTTGATCTACCCAGTATTATTTATAAAAACAAACAGCGGCGTAAACTAAAATAATATTTGCCATGATTTTAGATTACATAAGTTAATTATGAAGTAAAAATAAAATTAAAATTTATTACCTGTAGGTTCTAATTTGTTGACAATCAAATCTTTTCTTGCATTTAATAAAATTCCTATGAGATCGTTTCTAATNAAATCTTTTCTTGCATTTAATAAAAGTCCTATGAGATCGTTTCTAATAATATTATTTTTTTCTCTATAATCTAAAATTTCATAAAATGCACACTGAAAAAATTTCATAGCTTCTACCGGCCAATCAGATATACACAGCATTTTTCTTAAAGTTGGCGAAATAAATGTGCACATGTCTTTTATAGCTATTCTTAGTGATGGTGCAAAGACAGCTTTTCCAAACTTTCGAAAATATGATTCTTCGTCGTTTAAAACATTTAAATTAATTCCAAAAATGGTAGTGCCAATAACATCTGTAGAGTAATTTCCCATTATATTCCAAATATCGAGGGTGTCCGAATTATTTAGATGCGAGGCCAATTTTTCCATCAGCACATTGCTGCATTCTTTAATTTGTTCTTGCATTGCTTGAAGTTTGGAAGACGTGAATATTGGGGTTATTTTGTGTCTCATAACTTTCCATTGCTTACCTTTCATGGAAAATAGGTTATTAGCTAGAGGAGTGGCATTTATGTCAACTGAAAATCCACGATCAGTGAAATGTTGAAAATCGTTGATAAGAACTCGCGTAATAAGTTCTGGACTGCGCACTAACAATGTCGGTGTTCTCATTTGAAACATCCCATAGTATTTTTGTCCAATACATTCCTCATACAATCTTAAAAATAAGTGTGTAGTGTTTTCACGTCCACGCATCAAATCAAAATAACTTCCAAAAAGAGTCACTGGTTTAGCAAATGGCACATTTCTTTTTCTCCAGTAATTAAAAGTTGAATTACAAAAATAATAAAATAAAACAACTAAAAAAAACATTATTGTATTTGTATAAAGTAACCACACAGAAGAATAATTCAAAATCATGATTGTTTATTCATTGAGATTTGATAGAGTAATGATCCATCTCACGAGCCTAACGATCAATTAATAAATTGCTTCTTTCAATATTTCATTATCAGTATTGACAAAGTAAATTAAAAATTCTAGATAAAATTTTAAACGTATAATTATTATTTTGAACACTTTATAATTTTTTATTACACATAACAAATTTTTATATATTTATGTACACCATTGATGATTAAAATATTGTTCGATTACTAAGAGAAATTTTATAATGAATTCGAGAATATTTTTTTCAGTAATTTTTTTATCGTCATCTGAAAAGTTGGTTTTATATCTCTTGACAATTATTACTTAATAAATTGTATAACTGTTTAATTTGTAAAGAAAATAAAAATAATTAGACTATTAGAAGCCATTATTGATTAATTTTGATAATTGTAAATTTTAGATTAAAAAAAAACACATTTTTATACAAACTTTTTTAGCTTCGATGCGAAGCTGAGAAGGTATTGGTTTTACTATGATGTGTTTTTTTTTGTGTTTGTTACCACTTTTTCTCAGCTCTCACCGAACGGATTTCTTTCAACGATACGTCAAAAGATCACAAATCGTATCTAGTCGAAGACATTACCCTTCAAAATTGAAAAAATTTCCCTCGTTCCCCGTAAATGGGGGAAACCTCCAAAAAAATTACAAATTTAAAAATCGCTAATTTTCGAAATTTTTTCAATTTTTTTTACTAAAAACTGTCATAACTTTTTCAAAAATGAACGTATCAATATAATTCTTTTTTTTATAGATGCATGATGTCATTACCTATCATTTGTTATATTTTTTTTGTAAATTTGACTTTTTGTCTGCCCACAGGGGGGAATTTAAAATGACAACTTTTTCACAAAAAATTAACTTTTTCAATGTAACTTTTGAAAATGTTCCGGAAGGTCTGACACTTTTATATGTATCTTAAATTAAAGCTAATGTAATGTACTTTAATTTGACCTCTGGACTTGTCTTCATGGTGAAAACGGCTACCGAATGCAATTTTTGTGTGAAAATTTTCGATTTTATAATTTACATTTTTTACTTTAAAGTGCTATAACTTTTTAAAAAATGTATGGATCAATACAATTTTTTCATGGGAAGTAGTATTTATATATATCTTTCATTGGATATACTTTTTTTTTAAATCAGACTATTTCCCTAAATATGGGGAGGCTTCAAATATAAAAAATGCATATAAAAAGTAGAACTTTTTCAACTTAACTTTTGAAAGTGTTCCGGAAGGTCTGACACTTTTANTTTTGAAAATGTTCCGGAAGGTCTGACACTTTTATATATATCTTAAATTAAAGCTAATGTAATATACTTTAATTTGAAAAAAAAAAATTTGACCTCTGGACTTGTCTTCGTGGTGAAAGTTGACATCAAAGTTAATAAAAAAATACGATTTTTGTAAAATAATTTTTTTAAATATTTTTAACTTAATAATGCTCTAACTTTTTCAAAAATAAACATATCAATATAATTTTTTTTTTATAGATGCTTGATGTCTTTACTTATTATTTGGTATTTTTTTTTTGTAAATCNTGGCTACCGAATGCTATTTTCGTGTGAAAATTCTCGATTTTATTATTTATATTATATTTAACTTTATAATGCTATAACTTATTGAAAAGTTTATGGATCCACACAATTTTTTTATGAGAAATGATATTTTTTAATAAACCCTTTGTCATTCGACATACTTTATCTTAATCGAGATATTAATAAGGAACCAGCTTTTGGAATAAAACACCAATTTTTTTAAAATTAAACACTATCTAAAGATTTGCATCGAAGCGTTTATTTTTGATAGTGATTTTAATCACTGTCAGATATTATTCTACTTGATCCAACTATGCCACGTCACCACTGTGCCGCGACCCCCCTGTGCTGGGTTTTTTTTTACTACACATATATAAAAATAATTATCTACTTTGTTATTTTATATGAAAAAAATTTTGTTTAATTTACCATTGACATTATTCTTTGAATTTTTAAGTTAAATCCTTAAATTTTAACTACAATCTATTATTGACTACAGTAGTAATTCAACTTGCCGTAACTCAAAAATAAATAAATAAAACTAAGTTGGGTTAAGTTAGTTTAGATGAAATAAGTTATTACTTACTTTTCTCTTTTAGTTGTAATCGAATAATTGATGTGTAAGTCAATAAACATTTTTCGACGATTCTGATATTTTTGGATTTATTGCATTAAAATACGACAAATTGGCCAAATATTGTGTGTTACGTTGAAGCTAAAAATATTTTGAAATATTTAAGTATTGTAATTGATACTACCAAACTCTGTGTCAATGGATGAATGTAACACACGTTTCACTAAAAATGAAAATCAAAAGCAGTATGTGCTGATAGTAAATTTTTAATAACAATTCATTAAAAAAGTAAATTTACATTGTACATTTTTATTTTTAGTAGTACAGCAATATCGTCAAAATTATCCTAACCATAGTTAAGCATATTTTAATAAAATATTATCTAAAATAATGACTTTACAGTAATTTTATTTTAATATCATTTTTACTTATGTTTGCAATTAAAATAATAAACTTAATGATATTTTTTTTATAAAAAAAAAGGTAAGTATTTAAAGTGTGGTTAAGTAAACATTATTAATATTCAAGGAATATGATGTTCGGAAACAAATCTTAAGTTTTATTTAAAATATCGTGTATCTAGTCAAATAATATAAGTTTTTAAAATTAAGTAATTTTTTTACTTTTTACACTTAAATTTAAGTATTACAGAAAAATGTTTGCTTCCCTTTTTATTCAATAATACAATTATAAATACATTTGGTTATATTCCATTTTGATATATATTCAATACTAATAGAGATATT